ACTTCAGCATGATTTGTGGGTGCTCAGCACTTATGAAAATCAGGCCATTTATTTTAAAGGCCTTACCTGCAAAACGTCATGCAGTAAAATAGATTGAGAAACAGCCCATCCTCAGGATTTTAGTTTGGTTCTAGAGAATCCATGTATCTCAGAGATGAAAATTATACCATTAAATCACTCTTCTGGATCGCTGTTGAGTTTGTTGGGTTTATTTTCTGAAATTTGTCTAAATATAGTACATGCAAGTCAGAAACTTAATACAGTAGGCTAGAGCCAAACATGTTCTAAGCAAGTGCTTAGGAACCCTTTTACGCAGCTCTGCTAGTGCACTTGTAACACCTCTTCCAACTCCAAGTTAGAATTTGAATAGAAGTGTTTGGTCAGTGGATGGAGATAACTTACTGGATTTGGTTTTTTTTAGTTAGAATTCCTTTAATGCCAAGAGCTCTTAGATTTAGGCACTCTCTTGTGTTGTAAATCAAAACAAATGAAAAATATGTCAATTTTGGCAGATTTTGTTTGGAGAGAAACGTTGGGAGAAACATATGAGAGCATAGTCAGCAAACTTGTTAAATTATGCTGTTGTCTAAAACCTTTGTGAGAAAAAAAACTCTTTAGAACTGAAAACATTTTATTGTTATACAAGGTTCGCAACTGTGCTTCTGGAAGAGACACACAGCTTCGTGTGTCATTGGAATCTCTCCTCAATGCTGACCAGGTTGGCCGTTGGTGGATAGTAGGGTCGTCTTGGAGCGGAGCACCAATGATTGATAGTAACAGCACTAAGACTCAGCACAAATTGCCTGTAGGAAAGGTAAATATGAAGACTGCTACTAATAATTGAAAGTGTTAAGGCTATTTTGTCTTGGAGAAACATGAACAAATGTCCTTGTGATACTACAGTTAGTATTTGGACTTTTGCTTGCCCTGGCACTGAAATTCTCTCTTCCACCTTGTAGATTTGTAAAAGATTTGACATGGAAAAGGTGGACTCAAATTGGAAATGGATTCCATAGTCTTTAGACTTATAGATAGGGACAGCTGTCTGCCTAGGAATCATATGGTTGAACTAGTTTTAAAAGTATATAGAAATATGATGAGAAGGTCACTTAGAAAAAGACTATTCATTTGATCATGTCCAGTTTTGCCGGTCAGTTATCTGTTTTCTTTGCTTGGAAGCCAAGTCTCGATAGTCTTTATATTCATCTCCAGTGGTAAGGGCACTATGTCTTTGGACTGTTTCTTCACAACTCATTCAAGGTATGTGTGTATATATAATCATATCAGATAAGTTGCACTGAAATAGGGATCCTCTAGCAAGTGCAAAATAAAATGCAGAATTAGTAAATGTTTCTTTAAAAATGTTTCTTTTCAGATGAGTTCAAAGATATTGGAGCTTGCTCGTAAGCAGAGAATGAACACAGACATCAGGAGAAATATTTTTTGTGTCTTGATGAGTAGTGAAGACTTTTTGGATGCATTTGAGAAACTACTGAAGTAAGTACACATCTTGATCCTTTTGAATCCCAGGGACAAATAAAAGTGCTGTCTGGACTGGAAACTTTTTGTTGCCTCCTTGCCAGTCAGGAACAGGAAGGGAAGTTAGGAGTTAGAGAAAGTAGCATCAGACAGAGGGCTGGGGATGAGGACAGCTTGTGAAGTCCTCTACTCCCCACTCCAGGGATGCACAGTGCCTAGAGGAAGCAACCAGCCATGGATTTCGGTGGCGTGGACCATGGCCCAGATCAAAAGGCTTGGTGGGCCAGATCTGGCCACCTTCCCCTGCTTTAGGTGCTTACAGATGGTTTCACTGGTTTTTCCAAGATCTTTCTAGGTGTCAAATGCTAGTGTATAATTCCCTGGAACCTCTTTGTTACCTTTTTAAAGATAGATATGATGTTTGCCTTTATTCTTCTGGGACTTCACCAGTTGTTTGTGGGTTCTTTAAGACAATAACAGTTCCGATATTGTCACAGGTAGTCTCTTAAGTACTCCACAGTGAATTTCATCAGCCTCCGCTGACCTGAAAATGTCTAATTTATCCAGATACCCTTTAACCTGTTCTTTCAATATTTTGGCCTGTGTTTCCCTGCTGCCACTGCCCCTTCTTTAATATTGTGTTAAGTATCTGGTCAGAGTCTACTTTTTCAAGGAACGTTCAACAAAACAGGTATTAAATAACTCAGCCTTCTTGATGTCCATTATTAACTCTCTCTCTTAGTTAAGGAGAGGACTTACCCTTTCCTTCATCTTTCTCTTGCTCTTAAAGTGCTTAAAAAGATCCCCATCATATTTGTCCTTTTTACTGTTTGGTAGATGTGTCCCATTTTGTGTGTTACCCTTTCTGTTCTATCCCTAGAAATTTGTGCTATTCTTTTGTACTTATCTTTACCAATTTAACCATGTTTCCATTTTTTGTAGGATTTCTGTGTCATTGAAGAGCTCCAGATGGAGCTGTATTGACCTCTTGTGATGAAAATCTTTTGTTCCTTGTGGCTTTATAAGAGCTAAAGGAAATTATGCTGGAACTCATAGCTGTGAATACTCATCCTGCCTTTCATATTTGAAAGGGGAAGAATTTCTAGGTCTTCAAAGGCAAAACAGCAGAAAAATTAGATTTTATATGCTTGTAGTTGTCATTGAATATAGAGTCACAGTGCTACAGCTTGTGCCATTCACTCTTAGTACACCATGACAATGTTCAAATGCTAATAGTAATAGAGTTAAAGAATGAGTAAAAGAAGAGTGCTCTAAATCAATGGTTGCTTATAATATTAATCCATGAAATCTATATGAACGGTTGTGCACATTTGTATTTTAAACTACTGCTCAGCAAAATCTGGTAGGATTAGGGGAAGAATAGTGTCTAGGTATGAAACCAGAGAGATATAATATATTATATTATATTGCGTGTCAGACTTATTACTTCAGTTGAAAACCTAGTTTCAGTTCTGATTTTCTCCTTCTGGTAATGGCATTTTAATTTTGTTTAAAAACGAGCACAGTACTAAACACATAAGACTAACCAAAAGCCAGATACATTAACAAAAGAATAAAAATGAGAAACCCTGCACAATAGCCAAAAACAGAAAATGCAAAATGCGGAGAAATTCTTTCAGGCATAGTAGTTACAATTTCATTTTAATTTACTAACCACAGCCTGAAATTTGAGACCGTCATACTTTCTTATTGAATAACCAAACTTGAAACCTTAGCTTCCTATAAACGTGATTAAAAAAGATGTGTACATTATATGATCCTAGTCGTGACTAGTTGTTTTTCCGGGGGGAGCAGGAGCTGGTGCTGGGGGGTTGGGGAGTCAGAGGTGCCTCTTTCTACATTTAAAAGGCAGAGCCCCAGTGGTGTTAGCTCCTGAGGATGGGAGCCAACCCTGCTGTGGCTCTGCAGTTTCTCCCCTTATTGACTAATCAAATAGTAAATGGAATTACCTTAGACTAATTGATTAGCTGATTAAACAAAGTTTAACATCCCCAGATGTGTGTCCATGATGGGTTCTGTTCCATCCACTCTGCTTTGGATCATTATTGCTACATGATCATTTGACTCAGATGCCATCAGGAGAAGGCTGACTTTCTTTTTTGGTGGTTTGGAGTCTGTAGTTTCTGCATCAGAGTGTTGCTCTCTTGGACTTCTGAAAGTATGCTCCATACCTCACCCCTCTCATATTTTGAATAGCACTTCAAATTCTTAAACCTTGAGTTGAATGCTGTAACTATTTTTAGAAATCTCATATTATTACCTTGGTGTTTTATCAAATCTGCTGTGAAAGTGTTCTTTAAAACATATGCTGAGTCATCGTCTGAACAGGAGACATACAGTTCTCCCCCACGGAGTTCAATCACAAATTGAATTAATTGATTTTTTTTAAATGAGCCTCATCAGCATGGGAGCGTGTCTTCTAGAATGGTGGCTAAAGCATGAAAACATTCATATGTCTCGAGCATATCTGATATATAAATACTGTGCAATGTCGGCTACAAAAGTGCCAGATGAATGCCTATTCTCACTTTGGGGTAACACTATAAAGAAGCAGGCAGTATTCTCTCCCATAAATGTAAACAAACGCGTTTGTCTTGGTGATTGGCTGAACAAAAGGTAGGATCGAGTAGACTTGTAGGCTCTAAAGTTTTGGTTTTGAGTGCAATTATGTAACCAAAGTCTATATTTGTAAGTTACACTTTCGTGATGGAGGTTACAATACTTATATGAAGTAACTTGGAAAAACCTGTTTATCACTTTTACAATGCTTGTTATAGTGAGCATTGTGGTATTATAATGTATTTGAAAGTGTAAAAAAACTCCAAAAAATATTTAATAAATTTCAGTTGATATGCTATTGTTTAACCAGTGCTATTCATCACAATGTTTTAATCTTGATTAATTATTTTTAGTTTATTGCATGAGTTAACTGTAATTGACAAGCCTACTTAGATCCTTGCTAACTAAAATTTGGTTGACCTGTGTTGTATAAAACAAAGGGGAGACCCAGCAAAGTGTATAGACTAAAATTAGGCAGACAGGACATTTTAGTCACATGACTGCCAAATGAAAATCCAATCTCAGTGATACACTCTTTATAATATAACATTAAGCATTTTTCTTTTAAATTGATTTTAATGCTGCCAGATATTTGACAGCATTCTGGAGTAAATCATATTCACAGAATAGATGCAGCACATGGAACTGTTCCTTGCCAATGTTTCTGAATCCTTTTTCAGTTGAGCCAGCTGCATGAGTGAGAAGGCAATTCATTTTTTGTTCTTCTGCTGAGGCAGCCAACGAGTGTGCCAATAAGTATAGATTGTGTTTTGGTAATTACTGTTGGTGTTCTTAAAGTAGACATTTTCTCTTGTTTGGTTGACACTTTCTCTTGATTGAAACCACCAAACTCACTTAACATAGATAACCCAACCACTATTTAATCACTGTGGTTATCATTCACTGCCTGAGGTAGATTTGACCTGCTGACCAAGAGATACAAGGTTTCATACCATCAACCAGAAAAGGTTTTAAAGAGCTTTTCTTTCTCTTATAACTTGTTTCATGTGATTTAAGGGCTCCAGGTACCTGTTTGTTCCCATTAACCCTGGCAAGGATGTATGTGAAGGCAGCAATTTCTTCCCAAAATCATAGTCAAGAATATTAGCCAATTTGAATGGGGATCCCAAGGCTTTTACTTCACTCCTTCTTGACTTCACTACAGTTCATCTCCGTTCTCCAGTCCTCAGTTCTTGCCAAGATAATCTTCCCGAAGATAGGAGGACAGATAGCCACTCCACATCACTTTCTGAGAGGAAGTGCAAATATAGATTGTCACCTGCATTTTCCTCCCAAGAAACTGATAGCTTGTCTGTCATTCTCCTCTTGCCCCAGATTGTTTAGGCCATTTGGTCATGCCATATACATAATAACATGGAGTTACTCTCCATGATGAAACTGGATTGGTCTGACTACTTACTTCAATTTAAACCTTTAAGGATTCCATTTCAGTTGAAATAGAATGGTCATCGTAATTTAAAGAAATTGACAGTGACTCTTTCTAAGGGAGTTCTATTTCTATTATTGATATTACAGGCTTGGACTTAAAGATCAGCAAGAGAGAGAAATTGTTCATGTTCTCATTGACTGTTGCCTACAGGAGAAGACATATAACCCCTTCTATGCATATTTGGCTAACAAGTTTTGTGAATACAATAGAAGATTTCAGGTAAACTAAGATCTCTTCCTGTCATGTGGTACTATTTAAATTGAGATTCTTGTGTGTTTTCTATCATTAGAGATTTGTCACACTGGCTGTACAAATTTATTCCATCGTATAATACCACAGAAAAAGTCTCTCTGCCATGCCGTGATCTACTATATTTTTGAGAGAGACTGTCCATCCATTCAAGAACTCCTCCTAAACATTAAGAGCCAGGACCACCAAGTTCACTGTACAACTTTCTCTTATCGTAACTTAAAGCAAGATAAGGGTTTGGTTGTGCCAGGAAAATAGGATGTACCTGGAATGGGATTGATTCTCAGAAAACCCTACAGAAAAGAGACAGAATCACCAGGCAGGTGAAAGGGGGCTTTGCGCCCCCCCCCCTTCCCTCTCCCAAGACTTCCCTAGACCTGAAGCTTCAACCCCCCAGGCACCCTCTAAAGTTCCATCCCGCCCCGGATTCCTATGAGAACATTGCTGGCTGCTCCCCTTCATCAAGGAGTATGGGAAAGTGCACAGTCTGCTGCATTCCTCATTCTGACTTAGGAGTGCAGGAGTAAGACAAACCTGGATATGCACCCCTCCCTCTGCTGTGCCTGTGGTAACTGCAGTGGCCATGGAGAGGCACTTCTTACCTGACCCCAAGCTGCTGCGGTAAGAGAGAGCTGGGCTTGTCTTCTCTTCCCAGGGCAGCCTGCATACTGAACCCATCATCCCTAGCCCCACCCGAGGGTAGGGATGTCAACATGTAGACGATTACACAATTAACCTATAAACCTGGGCTTAATCTCTTAATCCTGTTGACTGCGCATTTTCCCCTCTTCCCCTTGCTGCCTCTGTAACAAGGCGGGGGACAGAGACAGGAGCTAATGCTTGTGAGGAGCCAGCTTTTAAGTCTGCTCCCCACAAGTACCAGATTGTGTGGAGTTGGCTACTCCCTTCCCGTGCTGCTGCCTCTCATAGAGAGGCAGCATCACGGAGGGTGAGGGAGGGCAGGCGGGAGCTGGTACACACAAGAATCCAGCTTTCAAGCTGGCTGCCTGCACTTATAGTTGACACTGCCATATCGAAAGGGCACAATCATGTCACTGTTCATAATTTTAAATAAATGTTCCTCATTTATAACAATTCCTGCGCATCTGGAACGGAAGCCCTTCTTTACAGACACGTCTTTTAGCTGCATAAGGGATTTGTTACTGCATGATAAGCACTTGTGGTCCACAAACCGGTTTGCTTCTTGTAGGGTTGTTTAAATGTTGGGCTGCTGGAAGGTAACTCAGGAGTGCTGGGATATGCCCCCTTTTTATTGGGGGACTGCTTTTTGTGCTGGAATGCTGGCATGGAGTTTTTAATAAGCATTGACATACTTATTTTGAATAAAATAATGATATGCATATTATGAATAAGTACTCAGATACAAGGTAATAAGACCTTAATTAGAATAGACTGCTGATAGACAGAAACAATAGATGTGGGAAATTCTGGCTCTTCCATACTTCTACAGCAGGGGCCCCTGACTGAGAAGCAGAAAGACACACACCCCCTCACACCAGAGCCTGGGGGGGCCAGGCTAGTAGATTTTTTTTAGGAGGGAACCCTCTAGGCAGAGCCTGGGGATCGGATCTGGCTTGCCTGACTTCTGGCCCACAAGTCTCAGAGCTCCCCCCACCTTCCCCACATTGAGGAGCTGGTGTTAGTGAATCAGACCCACGGGGGGAGCTATGGGGAGAGGCGTGGGGATGACACACCAGCATGGGTTCCCCAATACTGGGGGAGGAGCCTGAGCCTTGGGAGCCAGAGCTGGACCTTAGGTTCCCCACCCCTGCTTTACAATATCTTAAAAAACCCCTCACCAACACCACAAAGACTTGCTGTCAAAATCAAATCAAAAACAGGTGCCAAACCAGAGAATTTGCCGGACCACAGGAGATCAGTATTGTCTAGCAACATTACCAGCACTTCCACTGCTTACTGGGACATGTAGGGGTAAATTAGAGCTAAATAACAGCACAGAACACAAAGAGCCACAGCAGGTGGCTGTAAACAAACTGTATGGAACTGTGGGAAACTTGGCCACACCCATGATAAGTGAAAAAACTTAAACAACAAATAGTTCTGCAGCACCTTAGACACTAACAAAAACGCTGATAGTATGATGAGCTTTTGTGGGCACAATCCACTTCTTCAGATAAAGTGGGTTGTGCCCACAAAAGCTCATCATAGCTTCGACCTTTTTTGTTAGTGTCCATGATAAGTGGACATCTGACTAACTAAAATCATGCTGGACCATGGATGTTGCTGGACCAGAGAAAGCCGGATTAGAGAGGTTCAACCTGTAGTTCATTTTGTAGCTATCTGACTGTATCCCTCTCTTCCTTCTTATTTGGCTAGGGATTTTTTTAACATTGTTAGCTTTTTGGAAAGGGAACTCTGACCTCAGGTGTTGCTAGGATACCTTGCATCAAGGGGTCCCCATCTTAGTTGCAGTTCCCGGATGTTTCCAAAACTTAAATAAATCAAGTAATCAGTTTTGAATTTCTGTCTCATTCAGATTTACCTGTCTGTTCCAAATTTTAGTCCAATTGTTGAAAAAAAATCTCAGTATACAGCTAATAAGAAGGATGTTAAAGGTTTCTCAAACTGCCCTCCTTTCCTCTTGTCTGTCCTTGAGCTTCTTTTTGTTTATGTTAGGGCTCAAAGAAGTATTGGCCTGACTGTTGTATTTGGTATGAGAGATACAAGGAAGGTGAGGAACCAATTCGACTACAATTAAACTGCATTTGGTATGGTTTGATGCAGATCAGGCAGAAACGGCATTTAATGGTTTCTGAGCTCCCTCTCCTCCCGATTTGCAACATTTCTACCCTTCCCGCCCTGGGCCTCTCTTGCAGAGAGGCTGCCAAATACAGCACATCAATCTGGTGGTGTTGCAATAGGGATAAAAGTCCAAGAGGGGCCATGCCAGCAATCTGGAATGACGGTCTTTTTTTTTGTTTGTTCCTGGGAGTCTTGGGGGTTGAATCTGTGCCTTACCTGTTTAGATGTGTGTTGTGGCTTCTGGGAGGTGTCACTCTCAGCTATTACAAAAATGATTATATATTTTCTTTTGGATCAAAATATGAAGCTAAAGAAATTAGATTGCTCTAAGGTTTTATATTTTACACTTGTCTTTTAATCGTGTGTTGCCTGCTTCAATAATCCTTGGCTACTCATTCTCTGGATAACAACCTAAAGATCCAGAGCCATTACTTTTCTCTTCTCATTAACCAGTTTATTAGCATGCAAAGGGAATTACATAAAAAACCACCGACAAAGCAGCATTTGGGTAAATAGAGTACATCGACATTCCATTTTGTTAACTGTCAGTTTGAGGAGATGATGCCACCTGCTGGGTACCGGCTGTAAAATTTGTAAAAAGGGGAATTCAAATAATTTCCACTCTGTCCCTTACCTGTCTCTAACCTGTCTGGCAGCTTTCACATATTTATCTCTAAAATTATGACTACTCATAGTTTCGCGTCTTCAAACTCTACAGAAACTTCCATCTGTGATCACAGGTTCAGTCCTGCTAGCCGTACAATGCAGTGTTTCTTGCCTGACCATATTTAGTTCCCATGGAAAATGACACATCCCTCTAAACCCCATCACATGGTTCAGATATTTGGCATCCAGCAACTGATTCTCCTGATGGTTCAGATATTTGGAGTCCAAATCTATTGGCATCAGAATACAATATACACTTGATGAAAGAAAATGCGTGTGACCATGTGGCTGGCATAGTTTTACAACTGCACACCCTCTGATTGTTATATGCCACCAAGTGCCAGCAATACCATGTATATTAGCCAAACTGGACAATCTCTATGACAAAGGATATAAATCAGACATTAGGAATGGTAACACACATAAACCTGTAGGGGAACATTTTAACCTGCCTGGACACTCAATCATGGATTTAAAAGTAGCCATTCTTCTACAAAGGAATTTTACAACCAAGCTACAGAAAGACTGCTGAACTGAAATTCATCTACAAATTTGACACTATCACCCTGGGCTTGAATAAAGATATTAACTAGTTAACACACTATAAACCAATTTCCCCTCCCTTTGACATTCACATTTTTACTTCAAAAGCTATGAATGGGACATCTCCAGCCCACATATATATATATAAAGGAATCTGTTGTTTCCACTCCAACTTATCTGAAGAAGTGGGTTTTACCCACAAAAGCTTATGAACCTATATATATTTTTGTTAGTATCTAAGGTGCCACAGGCTTACTCATTGTTTTTGCAGTTTCTTGTCATTCATGAATGTGCCATTAACTTGATTCTACTATCTTTAGATTAGCCAGGATGTAACTGTTAGGATGTGCAAAGATGGTGTCCCTAGCTTCTTTGACAGAAGCTGGGAATGGATGACCAGGGATGGACCACTTGATGATTCCCTGTTCTGTTCATTCTCTCTGAAGCACCTGGCATGGGCACAGTTGGAAGACAGGATACTGGGCTAGATGGACCTTTGGTCTAATACAGTATGGCCATTCTTCTGTTCTTAATTAGCTGCACTGGAATTTAGACAAGACACCAAGTTTCATACACCTGTTCTTGCAAAGGACAAAAGGCTCTGTCATCTTTAATTATGACAAATGGTCAGGGGTTTGGGTATACTTACCATATTCAAAATAACACATCCAGCGGTGAATTGTCCCCTAACATCCTGGTGAGACTTTGGGTCAGTACTCACTCAGAAGACTGACACCTATTCAGTCACTACTTCTACTTCCTGCTACATTGTCCTTGAAAAAGATAACGCTTGGAAGAGCAGACAAATTCACAGGATGTTATAGCAGCAGGTGTTTTGCTATGCCAGAAATACTTTCTAGGAAATCATAGCAACAGTGAGAGCTCCTGTAGGTATCTGCATGCCCAAATTCCACTGCTTTCGGAGGATGAAGCTGTGTGAGCATATGGTTCACAGGCACAGAATAAATACTTCATTA